AGTGTGGAAGGTGTGAAAGTAAAGAGACTGTAGAAGAAATCCTGAACATTAGATGTCCTTTCCTTTTCATTTGTCCTCCGGTTGTTTAGCTGTAAGTTAAGAACTCAAAACGCTGGAATTCAGGGTTTGATTCCCCACGGTTGACAGAACACAGATAGCCTATTGTGTAGCTTTGTGCTAAAAACAACAACTAACCATTTTCAGTTACAATGGCATTTGCTCCAACTGCTTAGTCACACTCGTAATTAATAATAAGTTCAAAGAAACCCTGAAGTACTGAACCGTGACTAAGAATTTGTTGAGTTATGTGAGATTTGTCATTATCTCGACTTAACCGCTAATTTTATAATTTTTTTCCCATCGTGTTTATGCTAAAATTAGTACGTCATATTTTGAACCATAGAAAATAGAATTCGAACATTCGTTGTTGAAGCTAGCTTACGGGAAATAGATTTTAGGTGTTGTGGCTCTGTAATTAATTCCCAATCATAAATACTTGGAGTTGGTAAACCATCAGTTACTACATTGATTTTAGGTGTCATTATAATATCAAAGTTAATTATTTATACATCGAATGTTTAAAAAGGCGAAGTTACTTACGTCATATTTTGTTCTAGTTATTTATGTGATTTCTTTATCAAGTTTAGTCTTAAGCAGCTCATTTACAGAGACACCTTTATTCTCATTGGTCGAACAAGAGTCTGTTGTGGAGACAAACATGTACTCGCATAAGGCATTAAAATGGGTTAATGGGCCTTGTTTTCCCATAGACTTGGTCTACTTCAACTCACCAGTGTACTTAACATGTTGACTCAACACTGCAGGTGTCCCCCCCCCTAACGTAATCTACCCTTGATATCATTTTTTTTCCGTTATCTATCAAGGTGGTGTGATAATTATATAACTAAATAACACCAGCGTAACTACGAGAAGAGTGAGTGTGTGTGTGTGTGTGTATGGTTTCTGATATTTGCGTTATTTCCCAATCGTTGTTCGCACTAAACAAATACTAATTGCTAAAAACAGGTTTCAATTTAATTTTAAAAAATGACTAGCACTTCCTGCTCATTATTCGGATTCTCTCCCCCCACTTCTGAATTAGAGCTCGTTCTTTGGAATACTTTGATATTTTAAACCCCCATTCTCTCCTCCTTCCCATAACTTCCAATACGTGGCTGTGCCAGTGCTAAGTAAAATGAAATTTCTTGTTGAAATCACTGAAAAAATTATCCAACTACATTCCTTCGGTGAAAGAATACTATAGTTACAGTAGTTGCTAATGCTTACGAGTTGGCATTAAATATATGTATGTATATATATGTGTGTGTGTGTGTGTATATATATATATACCATGTTACTTTTTGAAATGTTCGGCTTTTCTGTAAACGGGATATTGATTAAATGTTTTATAGATTGGTTAGAATTAAATTTGTGGAAATATAGAACTCATCAAAGGTTACGAGCAGTTGTAGCATTTTTTTCGAAATTATTACATGAATACACTAGGTTATCGATAATTTGCATTCCGAATTTCAAGGTACAGAAACATGCGCAAGTGTATATATATAAAGTTAAATTGTACAATTTTCTCCGTAGAAATAGTATTTAATAGTCTCATACGAATTATACGAAAACCGTAGAATAGTGAAAAATGTCATTGAAAATTACATGAGTGAGATCTGTATAATGTTTTACAAATGTATTATTTTGTGTCCAGAATTACTAAATGTTGTGCATTTTCATCCAATACAATAGTGTGTCGAAATGATGTTCCTGTTCGCAGGATATATATGAGAACAGTCAGTAGAATCAAATGCATCACATAAAGAATACATCAGTGTAACTTCTTGTAGTGTAGATGTTATTGTAAACAACCTTGTCTTTTTCTCTGTTGTTATAAAGGTGAATAGTAAGAGAAAAAGAAAAGTCTGGCTATGTCCAATAAATGTGATTTAGCATAAAGTAGGTAGTCCAGAATGCCGTGTTTAAATAAGTAAGTATACCTTTAAATACATCACCAACCGGCTATGATATTTTACATCTGGAAACTGAGAAGTGTTGCAGAGAAGAACTGAACATAAATAAATGAAAATATTGAAGTAACGATTATAAATATTTTACAAAAATTAGTGTGAAATATTTATTTTCAGCATTGGAAGAGTAACAAGAACAGGTAATTTTCAAGCTCTTTCTGAAAAGTTGGGATTACTTTCTCATTATTAAAATCTGGGTGCACGGCTCTAAATTACGTTGAATAAAATGTTGCTTGCAAATAAAATTCTTATATAATTTCCACCACATAAAATTAGTTTAAATTGTGGTACTTTATTGATTTTTAATGTATTAGTATTATATTTTTTTTCCATTAGGTACAAAAGATAAGAGTGGTGTGTCACGTCTTATCTGAATCATGTCCTACATATCTTGGGTGGGGTCGTTTATAGTGTGCCAAGCCAAAAGAACAGGGGGGTCCGGGAACGATATAATGAACTACTGAATATACATAGATCAAAATAAAAATGCTTTGGTTTCTCATGGAATAGTGTAGGTAAAAAAAAATATCAACAAAAATTTTCCATTGGAAGCCAAAATGGGTTGGGGTTTCATATGAAACATTTCACTCACCCCTAACTAAGGACGTGACCATTGTGTCTTCTCTTTACGACATAGGGGGAACAACTCTGAAAAACACTAGTTATATTATTATACGGAATAAATATGACATTATAAATAATAATGATAATAATAAACGCAAAAAAAATCACAATTCTGACACTTTTGCTACTCGAAGTATTGGTAGCGATTTAAAAGGTCTCGGAGATCTTAACGTACAAACCTCAAAATGGAGATTTTCTATAGCATTCTTTCGGCATGTTTGTATTGATACTGGAAAATTACAAGAACAAGATGGCTAGGCCTAGAACTGAGCTGTTTGAATCTATAATTACAAACAAACCGGACAAAAGATTTGAAATTTAACTTTTTATGACAAGTTTAAGGAAAATATTTTATTTTGACGATTTCTTGTTCAGTACTTTAGCTATTGTTGTCACGTCAGAGTGATTGTACATAAATATATAATAGACGAGAATATTTTAATTACCTGTAGTTAACTATTGATCAAATACTTTTAAAGTTTTAAAACTTGTCCCATGGTTCGAGATCTTGATTTCAGAAGTTGGCGAATTTAAACGAAGATAAATTACACATTTTCAGTTGTCATTCAAAAGTGCTCCACGTCGTGAATAATAACAACACATTCATGTTATAGAGGGATTTCAACTAACTCACGAGAAAGAACGTTAGACATTGTCACTTTGCCATCGAAAAAACCTGCAGATGAACCTTCCCTGTGAAATCGTTTAAGAGTCAAATTATCAATTTGTTTTTTACCGATCTCTACTGGTGGGCTCCACATACCATATAATATTGAGTAATTTTATGTTTTTACCTATTTGCACTTTCAGTGTAAAGAACTAACCAAAAATATTGGGTGAAATTACAAATTTTTGTATGTAGAAGAAAGAGGGAAACCTCAGCAGTAATTAGTGGGATTAATTGCAATATTGATATTTAAATGTTGTGTGTGTGTGTCATGTGTTAATTAGGGATCCTGTAGCCAATAATATTATGGACGGGTAATTGGAAGGTTAATGTTTCTATTATAAGAGTCTGATCGGTATACAACTAATCTAATATCCCAGAACAGGTTTTTATTTTATTCTGTTTAATCTGTTCTGCAGACTAGATTTCACTTGCGGTATTTAAACTTAGGAGACAAGAACGGAGGTTAATGTTTCATCCTTGTTGCAGGTTGTGTTTTACGTATGACATTAAGCTTAGGAGATTAGGACAGAGGTTAAATCACCACAACCTTAATTTTCATTTTTTGAAGCATCCCTGGTTTTGTTATTTTAATAGATTTGAACATTTATCATCAGAAATCTCTGAAGAACTGCAAAAAAGTCATAACAGATTGGTAAACCAAAATCTGTAAACTCGAGTGATATTATTAACGTGGTCGTTCTGGACTGTTAAACCTTCATATACAGGGTGTGTCAAAATAATGTATAAACACTTTGAATAGCCATATTTTGTAGAGAGCATGATCAATTTCAATGAAATGTACGTTTTACAACTAAAATATACACTAAACTACAGAAAGATGTTAACCTGCCAGGGATTAGTGTGTGGAAGGGGCTCTCCTCTCGTGGGATAATCAGACCTTGCAGATTCAATGATACTGTTACTGGGCAGAGTTATCTTGAACTGTTAATGAATGATGCAGTTCCTGCAATAAGAAACATGTTTCAGTATACATCTCCACTCTAATCTCCGTGCCTATCTATACTGAATTTACCGAACGGTGGATACGTCGAAGGGGGAATGCTTTTGAATACCCCAAAAGGTCTCCAAGCCTCACTTCCCTAGACTTTTTTTTTTGCATGGGGAAACCTGATAATGTATATAGTCATAAACCACAACAATGCAAGATTTGTGGGTGATGATACAATAGAAAGCAGGCTAAATTACAGCTGACACGTGTAACACCGTATCTTGGGCTGTTGAGAAACGATGCCGTTCATGTATGCATATTTGTGGCGGACATTGTGAACATCTGACGTAAGTTCTGTAATGTGTCACATTTCTATGCATCTAATGTATTTGAAACGTTTTTGGTTCATGTTTACTCAATAAACTTACCGAGATACAACATATCAAAGTGTTTATACATAATTTTGACTCACCCTGTAGTACAGGCTAACAAATGCTGAAAACCTCACTTAACCTTCCTTCATACTATTGGTGATGATATTGGTACTAGTCGATAGTATTTTAACACACTATCTGTTTATATAAAGTCCTGTTGAATACGAAAATAAGACTTCTAAAAATGTTTCATCGCAATTCGATCGATGGCTTCTAATTCTGGTTACAAGATGTCGTATTCTTTTTTCTTTTCTTTTTCTCTGAAATAAATATGACGATTCTATTTATAGGAAATGAAGCAGGTGGTGCCACCTCCTCTCACTACCATAGCAACGCCACCGAAGGAAGAGCAAGTTTTAGGTTTCTCTCCACTTCGTGAACGAGTAAGTTAACAAACATGTACTGCTATGTGTGAATTACGATGTAACTAAACTTTCATGATTAGGTTTGTTGCAACCTGTGATTTATGCAGGTTTAGTGTCAGAAACATCACGTACGCACTATTTTCAGTTACTTTAATACCGTAGAAAACTGTATTCCGAATCCAAACAATTGAAGATAATAAAAATGTGTAGTCGGCAAGGTGTTGAAAGAATGTTATATTTTTATTAAGAAGGATGTCATACTAAATGATTGTTTAGTGTAACTGGTGCCAATCTGTTTGTCTGTGTGTTAAACAGCCTTTTTGCTTGTCAAAATAATGAGTGATATTTGTATTATTTTTATAACTTTGCGTCATTATAGTAAATATGTATTTTAATATATGTTAGATGTAGTGAATTTAGTATGAATTAACGTAGCTTACGACGTTCATAATACAGAATATCTTGTATAATTGGATCTAACTCCTCATATATACGGTATTCATAACATAGAACATTATTTATCACTGGGTCTACTTTCTGCGGTATTGTTAAACATAGAACATTGTTTATCAATGGATCTAATTCTTATATATACGGTATCCATAACAGTGTTTATCAGTGGATTTATCTTCTCATTTTGTCATGATATAAGTCTGTTTAGTTTAGATATTAATGATTCAATTATTGTCTGTCTGCTGCTTTCTCACACTATTTATATCTTTATCACTTAATCGTCTGCCCACTTTCTATATTCTCGACGTCAATGTATTTATACGGTATCCATAACATAGAGCAGTGTTTATCATGGCTCTAATTCGTTACGGTATTCATGGTATAGAACAGTGTTTATCACAGAAAAGTCGCTTAATTGGACAAAGCGTCAGTGAAGTAGCTTTCACTCGGTGTCGAAACTTGTACCTTAGCTTTCCACGCAACATTTCCATGACGTTTCTGCTTCGATATTTTTCTAGAGCCACTTTCCATATCGCTTAATGTTATCTACGATGCTGACGTATGTATCTCTCATCTTTATCCCATTACGTGGAGTTAGAAACCGTTCTATCATTTATACTCGTAACAGTTACCAGCAAATATAAGAACAAAGTGACGGAATGCTATTTTCTTTATCCTTTTTTAATTTTTAAAAATTATATAGGATGTAGTTGGACAGTGGCGCTCCCAAAAATTAAAAGAAAGCAATCAAATAGCCTACTTGAATCAATACTTCGAGGATTATCTCAGTACATTGAAAGTTTGGATTTCTTACTCTTTTGGCACGTGTCGCCATCTATACAATTTGTTATGTAGCAAGCATAGTGTTTTTTATTTACGAGCAGTATTTGTTTTAGCTCTGTATAATGTGAATTTCTTCCATTATTAAATCAAATACAGCTTTCAAAATTTATATTGTGACAAAACGTCTGCGCACAGCTTTTAAAATACGATGATATCGGGGATTATATTTCTACCTTTACGTCTGGTTAGTATCCCCAATTAAAAGTCATTTTGTTTTATTTTATGTTGATTGGTTAACTCCATTGGTCACTCAGGCTGACGAACTTCCTGTGTTTGTGCAGTTTGAACTTTATTAGACATCTTGTGTGGCACACACGTGCTCAATACAGTACATGTACTGCTACCTGAAAACTTCTAAAATAGCGAGAGCAAGACACGCCAGTGTGTATTGAACACACCTGAGCGTCGTTGTGAAGAAAGTGTCAGTAGAGCAGCATAGCTGACGGAACAGTTGAGGCATGGGACAACCAAACGTCGTTTATTAATCAAAACACTTTAATTTTGTGGGACATACAGAATATCGTGTAGCGTTGTTACAGTGTTAGAAGTTTTATTAGGGCCATGTTTATAAATTAATTCCAGAAGATGATTCTTATTTCTTATACAAAGAAGGAAGTACAGACATTAAAGTAATTACAACAAATCTCGGGTAAGTTCACTTGATTCAACGTAAGCCCCCCCCCCCTTTTTTTTAATTCCAGTAAAATAAAGAACCAAAGAAGTGGAAGAATATATGGAGATTATTCTTTTCATACCGTTCTTACTCATTACATGGGATTTAAATAGGACACACCTTCATATACTGCTTCATTTTCATTAAAATATTTGCTGCTATCGAAAGTTATTCAGTTTTATTTTGCTGGAGGAAATATAGACTAGAAAACGTGGCGTGAACGCTGCAGCTGCCAATCTCCCCCTCACTACCACCACCACTCACCCCAACACACACACACCTAAGTTCTGTCTTGTGTAATTATAGAAGGACGACGTGTATGGAGTTGTCATTAATTTACAGAATTCATGTAGTAGCATTAGTATAATGTATTGAACATAAAATAGAGGACAGTCCAATACAAATGTGACGTGTTGAACTTTCCTAACATGTTGCATAATTATATATAACAAGGTCAGAAACTGTAAGGGCGTGTCTAATATCGTTACACGTATTTATTCTCGTAGTGCTTATAAGCCTTGGTAGGGCGTTACACTATCGGCTATTTATTCTTAGCGAATTAAATCCTTAAAGATAATATATATATAAACTAACTTACTTTACAAGTCTTGTATGCCTTGATAAACAGGCTCGCCTTTTTTTTTTCAATTTGCTGCTTTTAAAAGATAAGTAATAACTGGAAACATGTACACCTTTAAATAGTTTTTTGTATTTGACTTGTTGTTTTCTTTATCTATTTATGAAATCTCTTGGTGGCTCAGCCATAAGCTTATAACTCTAAAATTTAGTGTTCCATTCCTTGTAGTGGACAGATAACACATGTAATTTTGTGCTACACACCAAACCAACTGTTTGTGAAATTATTTGCCCATATCGATTTCCAGCTCATTTTAATATTGGTGTGTCTTCATACAGAATTACCCTCAAGTCCTTAATGTGGTCAAAAAATGCATGAAACTGTTAACTTAGTATATTATTTTGTTATAGTTATTTTGATTCACTGTTAGTTGGGTGTGTGGGAGTGATATGGAGTTTATGCCACTGAGTGTTTCAGTAATAAATACATTATTTCCACATTTCTGTTTATTGCTGTCAGCTGCATATGGAAGTCATGCTTTAATAGTTGTATAGAAGGCAGTAATACAGGCTTTTTTTAGTTAGATTTCATGCAGTTTTTAAATGAAATATCCTGGAAGGAGTTTAGCCAGTGCTTATGTTCTGAAAAGATGTATGTTGTTTTTATGCTGACCCGTTTTCATATGAATTCACTTAACAACAGTAATGCCATTTGTATGGATGATATTTACTGGATGTAAACAAGCAGAACTACTTTATTGGGATTTCAACCAATAATTCACCCTCCTTTCCAAGAATGGTTGTGAAGCTCCATTAGGAATGTGCATATTTAAGGACCAAATGTCTGGTAAAAGATGAATAGGAGATCTAGAAACCACTGGTGTATTCAAGTTTAGGAGGAAAGTTACAAAGTGTGACAGCCCTGGCTGATTCAACTAGTTTAAATAATTTAATTGCATTTCCTTCAACTATTTGAAATATTCAAATAATATATAAATAACTTACCATTGTTATGGGTTAATAGTAGATTGTTACAGCATAACAATCAGTATTTTAAGTTTAAAATAATGCTATTTGTTTTGATGGCAGAAACTTCTTTATTTGAATAAAATGAACACAAATTAGTTTAATGTGTAATGTATTGTTAAAGTAGAAATTGATTGTTTGGTTGTTTTCCAGTTTTACAGTAATTTTACATCATTCTTCTTTTCATTTCTTACATTGTTAAGCACAATCTATTTGAAAGGCACTCTGTGTTTATTTTTCATGTAAAAGAATGATAAATATATATCTGTAACAATATTTAAATAGCCAGTTAATGTATGTTATATATGAATAGTCCAGTTATTACACCTTTTGTAAAACAATTTCCTGGTTTTATAAGTTCTCTATTGTAGACAATTTGGTTGAGTAGAATTCTTGACAATATCTGTTTGCAACTTATAATTATTAAGTATTTGTAATTATCAGTAACTGGTTATAATCAATACAAACCACACAATACTTATTTTGTTAATGGGGAAACTAATTAAAAATATTCAGAAATCTTCATGTGGTAAACATGCCAATTTTTCATAATTAATGGAAAAGACTGAATATACACACAAATATATATATGTGTGTGTGTGTGTATTGTACGTTAATCATTCAAAATTCACTGTTTTACTTCAAAAATGAAATTGACTAGCGACTGAAATGGAAAATTAATATGGTTCCTCCACTTTTTATTTAGAAAAACTACTATTCTTTGCTACTATACATATAAAACTGACATCACAATGAAAGACAAACTAACATCAAAGTGACACAAATAGATGATAGTCATCATCCATGTACAAATTAACATAAAAGTGAGATAAAAAGATGTCTCCATCCATATATGAATTAACATCAAAGTGACACAAATAGATGATAGTCATCATCCATGTACAAATTAACATAAAAGTTAGATAAAAAAGATGTCTCCATCCATATATGAATTAACATCAAAGTGAAACAAATAGATGATAGTCATCATCCATGTACAAATTAACATAAAAGTGGGATAAAAAGATGTCTTCATCTATATATGAACTAACATCAAAGTGACACAAATAGATGATAGTCATCATCCATATACAAATTAACATAAAAGTGAGACGAAAAGTCATGCAAATTAACATCAAAGTGACACAAAGAGATTATACAGTCATTATCCATGTACAAATTAACATCAAAGTGAGACAAAGAGTCATGCAAATTAACATCAAAGTGACACAAAGAGATTATACAGTCTTCACCTACTTACAAAATAAAATCAAAGTAACACAAAGAGATGATACAGTCTCCATTCACATATAAACTGACATCAAAATGAAAAATAAATTCTGAAGTATTCATTTAAAAAAAAAGATTTGTAAATTATTAAATATTTTGTTTTAGGAATACGCTTTATCATTTAAAATCTAATAGAATCAAATTTACCATAGTACTA